GCATGGAGAATAAGCTGTTTGAAGGAGAAAGGAGGAGCAGTTCAGTTGATTAGATGTTTAGTAATAGAAGTTGAGAAGCTAAGTGGAAAAAGAAAAAAGATGGTAGGTCTAGCTTTTGGTAGAAGAGGAGGCTAACCAATATGGAGGGGAAGAAGGGGTGGACAGGCAGAGAGAAGGCTGGAGGCAGCTGAGCAACCTGGCAACAGAAGCTGGTTGGATGAAGGCTTTTGATAGAAGAGGAAGCCAACTAATATAGAGAGAAAGAAGGGCTGTGGACAGGCAGAGAGAAGGCTGGAGGCAGCTGAGCAATCTGGCAACAGAAGCTAGTTGGATAGAGGCTTGGTAAGATAGAAAGGGAAGAGGAGAGATCAGTTAAGCACTCTGATCAGCAAAGCAGAAAGCTTTTTTAATCTGAACAAGAGCAGGAGCTAATATTCAGAGAGCTGAATAACAAGAATCAGTAATTTACTTGATAGCAGAGCTTGCTTAAGATCTGGAAGAGGGAAGATGCATACTCAAACCTCACTCCCTGCTTGTAAATCACTTGATGCTTGCAAATCACTTCATATCTGTAAATCACTCCTACTGAGATATTGGAATATAAATATCTGCTATCCAGCTATCAAATATCAGCTTTGATTCTCTTTCCTTCTCTTCCTTTCTTACACCAAGCAATAGAGCCAGATAAAACCAATACATCAAGCTGTAGCTCTGCTTCTATCTCACTTTCTCTCTTTCCTTACTGCCCTTATCAGGCTCAGCCTTTCTATCTTCTTGCTGATTATAGCCTAATCAATACCTTCCTGCTACATACTAAGCTATCTTTCTATTTCCTTCATACTGCACTCCTGCACATCTTTTATCAGCTCTTCTGCTACTATCCTTCAAAACTCATATTTTTCTTCTATTCCCTTTCACCCTTTCAGATCTCAACAGATGATACAACAGCCTACCAATCAGTACCTATAATATTTGGAAATAAAGGAAAGAAGTCTGCTACAAGCACTGATTTTCCAGTTCCCTCTCTTGAAGAGGCGCAAGCTCGACTGCTCTCAGGCAGTGAGCAGGTGCAGGCTCGTTCTGCTAGCTCCTCTCGCTTTGCCTCAGTTCCTTCTCAGCGAACTAACTCCTTTCAAGCTGCAGCTGATGATATCATGAAGGATATTGATGAGCAAAGCGAACAGCGCTATACTACGCTAGCAGGAGAGGCCCGATCAGTTCTGCAGATATCTGCCTCATCCGCTTTCAAAGCTCTTCCCCAATAACACCAGAAGACTACAGCAGACCTCAGCCGAGTAATTATGAACTCTGTAAACATTAATCACTCACCTATCGAGAATGCTCTGCTAGCTAACTGCTCTGACTACTTTGATGCTGAGCCAGCTCACTTGCCAGAGGCAAGAGCAATCGAGCTCTTTAAGCACTACTTTCCTGGTATTTACTTTCACTCTATACTGCGCAACTCTAATCAGAAAAGCTCAAATCTGGAGATTGGAAAGCTTAGTGAAATCCACTGAGTTTATACAGCTTTAATACTATACGATGTTGAGGATTTTATCCTGCAGCGCAAGCAGCTTACAGACTCAGCGCTGATGAGCCTGATCAGATAGCAGCTGATGAATCTGATCTCGCAAGTATGGATAACAAATTGATTCTTCAACTTTGCAAGCCAAAAGATTCCTTACTTCTGAAGGAAATACAGACCAGGAGTACGCTGAGCAGTCTTCCTCTATCTTTGCAACAACCACTAGTTTGTTGCAATCTACAACTATTATCAATATGCTATTCAGATGCTTAACTCCTACTATCGTAAGAACTCTACTATGCAAAAGAGAGTTATTCAGATAGTAGAGCAGCATCTGACTATTATAAAGCAGCAGCTAGCAAACAAGACTCTAGCCTACTAGCATGTGCAGATCTGTATGCAGGAGGATGGATGAAGCTGTAGCTTGCATGTAGCTAACAATCTGTGCTTTTTCTTTCAGGAGTCTAATAAGCAGCAGAATAATAGCCAGTTTACAGACTAGCGGAACTCAGTATTATTTCAAAATGCTAATACTGATATCTCGCCTCAGCAACATATTAAGAAAGCCTTTCTTATTGCTATTCAATCAGAGCTAAGCAGGGCAAATAGGGTTCTATAACAGGCTGAGTTCTTCAGGAGAAGCCTAGATTAGTGGAGAGCAAAGAGAGGTATTAAGAGCTTTGAAAGCATACAGATCTCAGATAGGGCTAGGGAAGCCTGAGTTTATCCTGCGAATATACAGCTCCGAGAGGATACAAAGGCTATTAAGTTTACTCCCAGCGAAATAGGCCGAATGCAGCGCTCGCTTCCGCCCCTGCCAGCCTCTTCTACAAGAGCAGAAAGCTAAGTCCTCCATCCTCTTTCGCCAGTTCCTGAAGCAGCTCCCCCCTCTTCATCTTCCAGCAGGCTACAGAGGCTTAGCTTTATATAGGGTATAATATGGATTAAGATTGCAAGCTGGGGCAATACTGCTATTATTACCTCTGCTTCTCCTAGCTCTGATCAGAGCCTCTCCTTCAGTATTGCAGAGCGCCAGAAGTCAGTTTCCTTCTTGCAATCGAAGTTACAATCAGAATCAGAATCAGAATTGCTTATGCAGATATATCCCTGCATTGATACAGTAGCTAATCTGCTGCAAGGTAGTCAGCTGCAATCTTTCAATAGCAAGAATGTTGCTTAATAAGCTATTTCGAAATCTATATTGCAGATAAGTATTCAGGAGAAGCTGCTATCAAGATCTTTCAGCATAAAAAGCGATATTTCGATAGCTAGCTAGTTTTTACAGAGCTCAGCAGAAAGGCAAGATATACGCTCTCTCTTCCCTATACCAGCAACAACTTCATTTCGACAGCCAATGCCAGCTTATAAAGCTAGTTTCGAAAGCTAGCAAGCTATGCTAAACAAGCTTTCTCAGAGATCAGAATAGAGTTCAGGGCAAGATGCAAGAGCGCTGAGAATAGAAAGGTGTAAGGCGAGTAAGAGGATAGGAGCATGAGAGTAATGATTAGAGAAGACTGAAGATAGCAGATATAGGTATTGCGCTGGTTTTTTTAAGCTTTTAGCTTCTTGATTTATATTTACAGCAAACAGAAATTGCTATCTCTATGCACTAAGCTCTAATTACTAGTTTATTAACTAATTTCTACTCTTCTCTTGTTTGCTAGTTTATAGCTTCTATTATCTTAAGAAAAACTCAGTACAAATTATTCGTCTCTATATTATGCTACTTGCAGCGCTAGCTTATTCACTCATATAAGAAGCTCTTCTTAAAAAGCTCTTCTTGATCTTTCTCTATAAGATTATAAATCAGCGCTTCTATTCTAAAGCTAAGAGCTCAGAGCTCTCCTATAACTGATATAAGAAGCTTTGAATACTAGCAGATACTACTCAGCTTTCATAAGAAGAATTTCTAATCAGATACTAGCTTATTCCAAGAAGCGCAGTATGCCTAGAGTATACTACATTTGGAGTATTCAGCATATACTGCTAAACGCTTTTGCGCAAAGATTCCTTTCTGCAGCTGAGCTTGCCTGCTCTCAATCTCGTGCTAGACTAAGTTATGCTTAAATAAGCAGCTCGCCCTAATATGCCAAGCTAGCAAGCCAAGCTCTCTCTCTCAGCCTTTGCAGAGAACACAGACGCTAGCCTATGCCTCAAGCTGCTAAACTAATGCTATAATTATCTTACTTCTCTCTTAGTAGTTCTTGAGAACTTCTCTCTGCATCCAGCTGCTTCTTTGCTTTATCTGTTCAAAATGCTTGCTGCTAAGCTCCTGATCAGAATCCAGCTTATGCTTCTAGCTAGCTAGCCTGCAGTAATTGCAGGAAATCTCATCTAGCATGCACTGCATTTGATCGAACTGCTTATCAAGAACCTGATTGAGAAGAATATGTTGATATCTCTTTATATGCAGATATTAGCTTATCTCAGAGCTAGCATTCCAAGGCGAATATTCATTCCAGAAAAGAGTTGCTTGAGAGAACTTGCTATCTCGGCCTGCTCGTTCGCTTTCTTAAGCATAGTTTCGTATATTTCTTGGAAGCTCTGCATGAATAACTGCATATACATTAGGAATATTCAGATCCATCTTTAATATACTAATTGCAACAATTATGCAATTATAATTATTAATCCATTGCTGCAGAATTGCAGTCTTGCTTAAAGTATTAGCAACTCTGCTGTAATAAATCTCACATTCCAGAGCAGATCCGAGGCTTTCTACCTAGCGAACTGTGCTACTATAGATAATCACTCTTCCCTTCTTCATCTTAGCAAGAGTTCTCTTTATCTCCCTGCAAACAGAAGCTTCTCTCTGATTAGAAGAGATCTGTTGAATAATATAGCGAATATTTTTGCGAATAGTAGATATTCGAAAAACTAATGATTTAGAGATGCATAGAGCTTAAAAGAGAGATGCCTCATCCTTTGGCAGTAGTATAGCTGTAAGGAAGATTTGCTGTATATCAAACGCTGCGATAGCAAATCCAAGCTCTTGAAGTTTTGATTAAAAGGTATTATTTGTATTAAGAGCAATATAGTACTCATTTATTACAATGCAGTCAAGCTGCTCTTGAGTATACAAGCAATTGATAAAGCTAGAGAACTGCTTAAAGATAGCAGATTCAGATGAAATAAAGATGATAGCAGCAGTGTGATTAAGCTTGGATAAAGTTCATATAGATATATCAATCTAATAAGTTTGGCATTTCTGAAATAAATCTTTCTGAAGAGCAATAAGCGGAGTGATAATAATTGTTATGCCCTAGGGTGAACAGTATGCTAGAAGCAAAAAGAAAAGAGCTTTTCCACTGTCTGTGCTAGCGATCTGCAGAATAAGAGTCTCTCCTCAAGCAATTGCACGGAAAACAAGCTCCTGATTGCTTTGAAACTAAGCTTCTGCTCTGATTATCTGTTGTAATTAGCCAAGAAGGTCAGTCTTGTATAGCTAACGAAAGCGCTGCAGCCAGCTCTGCTCTTATTCCTTTTCAAAAACCTCTCTCTTTCGCTTGAAAAGCACTGTAGAAGCGGAATGGCTTTGAAACCCGAGAAAGCGATGCCACTGAATGCTGGCTCTTCGAAACCGGTTTCTCCGGATAGCTATCTCAAACAGGCTCAGCTGCAGCTCTCTTCCATATACCATATGCGCTACAGCTGTGCTATACCCAGCTTGCAGATCGAGAATATTATCAGCTTCTTCATCATTACTAGTCAGATCATCTCCGCTGCTCTCAAGCTGGCCTTGCATATTGCTTTGATAGCTTTTCCCAAAATATTAACAAGCGATAACAATCGCGATATGCTGCCAGGCACTGATTGTAAGCTTTGTATCTATCAGCTGCAGGCTGTACTGCTAAAGAAAGCATCTTATCCGGTCTGCAAGCTATAGCTAGGAGCTAGAGGCTGAGAAGCTGTATTCCTCCTCTTCTTCTGGGTTTGCTAGCGGGAGGATCTGATCAGCTCAGAGCAGAGAGCTTCTTGCCTAGCTAGCTCCAAGAAGCTCTTCGATCTGCTGCTAGAAGGGGAGAGCTAGCTAGAGATACCAGACAAGAAGAGCGTTTACCTTGCACAGCAGGTATCAGTAGATAATCTTAAGCTAATCAGATGCTTAGTAGCTCTTGTAATAAAAAATAATAAAACAGATCAGCTCATCGTAAAGAAAGATATTTCGAAAGCCTTCATATACCGAGTTCTCTGATCAAAGCCCGAGGATCTCAGTAGTGCGGGCTGGCTAGCCTCCAGAGAAATGCAGAAGGAAGAGGATTTGCTCACGAAACCTCTCCGCCCGAAAGCGGAACTGGCTGATAGCAGAAGCCTGGAGCTATTAGCTGTACTTATCAAACCATGTGGTATACAGCTCTGTACTGCTCAGAATATGCTCTAGAAGCTACTGCTAGCTATTTATAAGCTATTGGTTGCAGCAATTAGCGAGAAAGGAATAGCTAATCTAGTCTTTATAATAATCATTCTAAAGCGAAAGCCAGTTAATCTGGGGCAGGGCTTCCAGATTTAGCGATTCGAGTATCTCAGCAAGGCTCTGCTATGCTAAGCTAAGGAGATTGTGAACCATATCGGAGATCTAATCAGTATACAGCTGGATGTTATAATAGGAAATAAGATTCCCTCGCTAGTCTACTCTGCTCTAAATAGCAGTAGTATAGCGGATCTTGAGGCTGTAGGATCTGGCTTTGAAGATCCAGTTGAGAGGAGTAAGCTTGGTTTCGAGGCTGGTGGTTGTTATAAATCGGAAGATCCTTGGCTGCAGGAGTTCGAAGAGCCTGCAGTAATGCTTCAGTGCTTCTTCTCGCAAGGTCTTCTGAGATAGTACAGCTAGCTTCTCGTTCATCTCCTTCTCCTGCTCGAGATAGGCTTAAAGGACTATAAGTATGCAAGCTAGCTTAATGATAGCAGAGTAGATAAAAGTATAATTAAGCGGTATTTCCTATTCATTATCTGCTCGGATATTGAGAATAGCAAGAGCGCTGAGGAGAGCACTCTTATATTCAGCATCTGGAAGAGGATGATCGAGAAGCTGAACTACAAAGTTCAGGCATGCTTTATTCTAGCGCGCTGCAGCTGTAGCAGAAGGAATCCCAGCTGTATTTTCAAGCTAGTATAGAAGGCGGGTATAAAGAGCGCTCTGTTCGGTGGTAAAGCGATAGAGAGGTTTCTAATTAGAGCTAAGAGCTTGTGTCTGTATAATATAGCTTAGAATGCAGCGCTAGATCTCCGTATATCGCTGCCATGAACTGCTCTCGAGTCAGCTATCGAATGGCTGTTTAGGCTTGATATGCTTATTCTTCCGATTGATCTCGAAGAGGACAGAATAGCTAACAACAGATGCAACTGCAGTATAGCGAGCCTGCTGAGCATTACGCTGAAAGCTCTGCCAGAGGGCCTGCAGAGTCGGCTCGTTGTCCCAGATCGGCGAAACCAGCTCCTTAGTTCTGATCAGATCTAGCCCCTGCAGATGAGTTGCCCAGCCTACCCTTCGGAGCTAGAGATTGAGCTCCAGCTGGTTGTTTCCTTCCTGGATAATCCAGTCTGTTAGATTGGCTAGCTGCTGCTATATCTAGCGGAAGGATGCTGTGATCAGCTGCCTCGGATCCTCTGGAATGCTGAGCTGGCTGTTCTCAGGCCTGCTCTGGCATTGAACCTCGAATCATCTGCTGGCCTGCCAGCTCGGAAAGAGCCTTTGGCAGCATACCTGCATTCGCTATGGGACGGAGGAAGCTATCTCCTAGGCAGACGGGCAGCTATCTGTGCAGGGATTTACTTACTTATGCAAGAGGCGATAGTAGTCTCGTATCTTATAAGCTTGTCTGGTAATGAAAGAGCATTCTCGATAGGCAAGGCTATTAGTTTGAATATTGCTAAGCAGCGGAATAGCGATGCTTGCTGAATCAGGAAACTGGAAATGCTGCAGATCTTGTTGAGTATAATAGATGCTAGGCAGGCTCTGAATGCAGCTTGCAATAGCTTATTGCTCTTTTCTAAGCATTCTATAGCGTGCTGAAGCTAGATATGCTGCTATCTCATCAGCTACAACGCTAAACTAGCATTCTCTACATATTATAATATATAATAGAGAGTAGAAAAACAAAGAATAAATAGAATTAGCTATAGCTAAGTTCTGATCAGAATAGCAGATTAGAAATACAGATTAGGATAAGCTCTAAAAATAATGCTAGATAATTGGTTGTTTTCAATACGGATAGAAATGCAAGTCTAACCTTCTCAATCTTTACTCTAGAAATGCAAATTCTGCAATTGAAATAGAAAGAGAGATAATGAGAACTTGAAATTCAGAAATGATAGAGTTTTAAGGGAGGCGATCAGACTTCAAATTGAAATGAGACAGAAAGCTTAAAATTTGAGTTGAGGACAGTTTGCAGAAAAAAAAACGATCCGCTACCCCCTGCATTTGCTAGCGCCGAAAATTCTCCCACCCAAAAAAACTGTCTTCTACCTTAAGGACACTTTGACTTTAGGATAGTGCTTCTAGTTATACTGCATTTAGTTCGTAGATAAGAAAGAATTTGAGCTGTTTTCCTTCTTATAGCAGAATCTTGTAATTATATAAGCTGTATTCCGATAATTCTATATTCAATTCTCTCTGGAATAGTTTCTTAAATCTGTAATATTCTTATAGTATATTCGCGAGTATTGGTTCTGGTTCTTGTACTGTTTCTGCTATCTGAAGGAATAGTAGGTATTGTTAAGCATACTTCTTTTCGTTTATTGTTTTTGGTAACGTTCTTGAGAGCTTTGAGCATTTGCTCCGAGCTGAACTGAGCGCTCGAGAGCCTGGTTTCGCGGTTTTTTTCGTATGAGTTTATAATCTATATTCTGAAGCTTTTCCTTATTGCTTTGGAGCGAACTGACTTGCTAAGGATCTTGCTTCTGTTGTTTTGCTAATCTGTTAGCGCTCTAGCATTATTTGGATTTGCTTGTTACTAGATTCTTCTCCTTGAATTGCTAGCTCTGCTAGTTTGAAAGTATGTGAGAAGTTGTATAAAGCTTCTTTTTCTGAGTATTCTTCAACTACTAGCTTCGATTCTGTACTGTTGATTGTAATTATTTTTTTGAGTATAGCTTGTTCTTATAAGATCTAGCTAGTAATCCAATCGATTCGAGAATTATGCTCTTTAAGCTATAAAAGTCTTATAATTAGCTTATGCTATGCTATATCTGTGATATTAAAAGAAATCTGGATTGTATATTTCTGAATTAAGATAAATAAATAATTAGTCTTCTTATTAATTACTCTCTGGTTATATGCAACAAATTATTCTTTTATAGTACTGAGAGTGTATGAATGCTTCTTCTATCTCCATTGTAGTTATGCTTAGTTAATAATGTATGGAAATATGAAGTTTCCCTAAGCGCTATTATTCAATAGTGCGCTATACTTATATTCTTAAATGTATATATTGAACTTAATATAAGCATAATCTATTCTGAAAGCTTTATATAAGAATTATTCTAATCTAATTATCTGCAGTTCCTTTACAAGCAATCCTATTCTTTTGAGTTTATTAAGAGTTACTTGTTCTTCTAAGCTTGCTTTGCTGCTTCTTAAGCAAGCTTCTTAGCTTGTTTTTGCTTGTATTATTATTATTTCTGATCTTTCTTCTATTAATGCTAGTTACAAACTTTGTTATTAATATGAATTATACAGAATATCATCTTATACTGCTATCATTTTATCTTCTTATTTATATATTATATAGAATAATTATCTAATAATCCAATATATGCATTGTAATACTATCTATTAAGAACTTCTCTGAAGCAGAATTCCTATTCTTTAACAGCTTGAAGGATTTATTCTAGTTCTCTAACAGGGAATTATTTATATTATATCTTCTCTGAGAAATGCATTCTGCAGCTATGTAATGAGCACTGCAGCAATCCGAAGATTCCTAAGTACACGAAGGGGTTTATGCTAACAAGAGCGGTATCAAAGTGTCAAGTCCTTAAATACGGAACCGTACAAGTCCTAGTAAGCGATGCAAGTGTTTACTGCCTTTGGGGCTATCAGAGTAGAGAGTAATCTGATACTTAGATTGACAACTGAAGAGCTACGTATAGTGATCTATCTAGTAATAATGAATGTATCCTTATATATCCAGCTCTTTATCGTAGCTCACCTGGCTCACTGTGATCCGTGATTCGTGTTGTGGTGATCCGGTGAGTGGCTCACTTGTTTTGCCGTGATCCAACCCTAACCCTTGCTTATGTAATTTCTGGTAGTTATCCGATGTTGGATCGTATCACCTGGTTCTCTATTGGCAGAGCCTGTTTCGTAATCTGCATGTTGAATGGATCATAACATCATCTCCCTCCTATCAATCATTATCCTCAACATACTTCTGTAAGTTTCCTGGCAAGCTGTTCGTAAGCTTAGTTATGCCTTCCTAATTGAGATGTTGAACAGAATCGAAAAGTCCCTTTCTCGAAAATCCGAACAACATCTTCAGCTTTCTCTAACTATTGATCTCCAAAGCTTCGAAGTTATGCTTTGTTCTTTCTGTATATCGAAGGGATTGGAGTGTAAGATGATGGAAGGTACTAAGCGGTATTCCTGTTGTATTCGTCGGGATCGTTCCTGTGATAATTCCGATGTTCCGGTAAATGCTTGTGAGTTTCATTCCTTTTCTAAGTTTTTCCTTGTTCGTTTTCTGATTCTTATGATAGTGTCTCGTATTACTACCGAACTTGGTTGCTTAGATCAGAAGGAGTTGGATGCGGAGGAAGTTCTTCTCGAGCTTCAGTCCAAATTGGGTAAGGCAACAGCTCGCTTGGTGCGTTTGCGGAAGCAGAAATGTTCTCTGCATGATTGTAGCGCGAAGATGGTTAGTTAGAGTTTGCGCTTTCTGGATGAGTTGGAGGAGAAGGAGTGTTGGGAGGAGGATGCTTAGCGTGCTGCCGAATCTGAGGCTGTAGCTGAGGTTTAATCCTGGGGTGCCCTCGATGTGGTGGATTGGAACAGCATTTTGGAAAGCGAGATTTCTGAAGCTCCTGGATCTCGGCCTGGGGCGGAGCAGCTGTCCTAGGTGCTGATTTCTTTCTTCTTCTAATACTCAGCTATCTTTTCCTGAGCATTTTTAACGTTTTTCTGCGGTTCCCAAGAATTTTTGCTTGCTGAATAATCTTTCCATTTGATAAGATATTCCCTCGTGCTGTCTATGCTTCTATGCTTGAGAATCTTTTCTATCTCATACTCTGATTCATTATTTTCCACTTCTGCTATATTGTCTATTGGTATTTCCTGTGCTACTAGTTCTAGCAATAAGATGTGGAAAACCGAGTGTATTCTCATTTCATAAGATAATGCTAACTCGTAATTAATCAGGGAAATTTGTTGCAAGATTTTGAATAGTCCCAACTTCTTATAATCGAGCTTATTGCTGGATCTAGTTGTTTTGATGTTTTTTCGAAGTAGGTAGATCTTATCTCCTTTCTATAGAATTGGTCTCTCAATCCTCTTGGAGTTTGTATATCGTATTATTTGTTCTTGAATGAATTGTAGTTCTAATCGGAGTTCCTCCTGAACTTTCTTGATCTTCTTAACTCTTTTATCTGCAGCTTCTGCATTTGCTTCTTGCAGTGCCTTGTAATAAGCTGTTGGATTGTATCTGTAGAGCATGAAGAATAGTGATTTCTTTGTTGTGCTTGTATCCGCGCTATTATAAGCAAACTGTGCAAGAAGCAACAGATTAATTCAGTTGTTCTGTTCCTAGTTGATATAGTATCGAAGGTATTGTTCAATAATCTGATTCATTCTTTCTATCTATTCATCTATTTGCAGATAAAATGCTATAGATATTCTATAGTATATTCTGAGCTGTTTTATGAGTAAAATTCAAAACTTTGAGTTGAACTTTCTGTTTCTATTAGAGATTACTTCTTCTGGTATGCTGTAGTTAGCAATAATTGTTCTGAGGAATGCATATGCAAGTTCTTCTGCTGTACTGCTTTCCTTGTAAAGAAGAAAGTAAGCATACTTGCTCAGTCTGCAAATCACTACTAGAATGCTATTGTATTGCATCTTAGTTAAGAATTCTTGTAAGAGAGATAGCTTGATAATAAAGTTTAAACTAATGGATTGCTAAACAGTTGTAGGTACTGGTAAGGGGTGCAGTAGTTTGTAAGGCTTATATCTTTCTATCTTATTCTTCTTGCAGCTATTGTATTATTATAGAATACTTTCAATCCTTTTTCTAAGATCTGATAGGTTTTAGTATCTTTTAATGCATTCATAAATTGCTCTAGTTCTCTAGTGCTTGTATGCTGATGCATTGTATACATCCTTAATGTAGTTGTTTTGTTCATTTAGAGTTATTGATTCTGGATTCTTTTCTGAAGGTTCTATTCTGAGAGCAGCATTCAGTTCTCTGTATGCATTGATGAGATTTCCTGATTCATCTTGGGCGAAGATGTTCTATATATCCGAAGAATCTGCATCTCGATGGTCTGATCTTCTGCTGAGAGCGTCTGCTCATCCATTCTCTAAGCTTTTGCAGTGTATAATCTTGAAGTTGAATTGTAAGAGAAATTCTGCTTATCTAACTTATTGCTTATTCAAAACCTTGGTTGTTATAAACGTAGTCAGATTCTTGTAATCCGAGTGAACTATGATCGAATATTGTATGCTAATGAGATAGTATTGCTACTTCTCAAAAGCTTTCACTATTGCTATGAGTTTCTGATTAGAGATCTTGTAGTTGATTTCCAAGCTATTCAACTTCTTTGAGAAGTTGCTTATAATCCTTAAACATTCTTGGTTATCTTGCTAATCAAGTTGTTCTCCGAGTGCATATCTTGATGCATTAGTCTCAATTTCAAAAGATTTGTAGGGGTTTGCTTCATACAGAACTGGTTCTGAAGTAATATGCTTGATGATCTCGTTGAAGGCTTCTTGTATCTTGGAGATCTATTCGAAAGGCTGTTCTTTTTTGGTAAGATTTGTAAGAGAGTATGCAATTCAGCTGTAGTTTCTAATGAACTGCTTATAGAAGTTAATATATTCGAGGAAAAATCTAATATTCCTGATATTTCTGGGAACTGGCTAATTCCTAACAGCTTCTATCTTATCTTTCTGTAGCTTAATGCATTCTAGCTCGATTGTAAATCCGAGATAGTTGATCTTTTGTATGTGAAAGTGATTCTTTGCAGATTCTATAAGGAGTTTTGCATCTTGAAGCGTTTGCAATACTGTTTCCATATGTTTCTTGTATTCTTTAAGTATTCGAGAATAAATAAGGATATTGTCAAGATAGGCAATGACGAACTGATTCAGATGCTTGTATAGAATGTGATTGATCATTTCCTGGAATGAAGCTGGAGCATTCGTTAAACCAAAGAGCATAATCAGATATTCGTAGTATTCATAGCATGTTCTGAAAGCAGTTTTCCATTCTTCTCCTTTCTTTACTCTAATTAGGTTATAAGCTCCTTTCAGATTCAGAACTGTAAATCACTGTGCTTCTTGCAATCTATCTTATAATTTCTTAATGAGTAGCAATGAGTATTGATTCTTGATTATGATATCATTGAGTTGCTTGTAGTTAATGCATAGCCTAAGCTTGCTGTTCTTCTTGAGTACAAACAGGATAGGGTATTCTGCTGGTAATTGCAATAATCGTATATATCTCTTTTTGAGATTCTCGTCGAGATACTCTCTAAGTGCTTCTAGCTATGCCTTGTCTAGTCTGTAAATAAGGAAGAATTTGAGCTGTTTCCCTTCTTGTAGCGGGATCTTGTAGTTATATGAGCTGTATTCTAGTAATCTCGTATTCAATTCTTTCTGGAATAGTTTCTTGAACTTGTGATATTCTCATAGTATATTTGCGAGTGTTGGTTCTGGTTCTTGTGCTGTTTCTGCTACCTGGAGGAACAGTAGGTACTGTTGAGCGTGCTTCTTTTCGTTCGTCGTTTTTGGTGACGTTTTTGAGAGCCTTGAGCGTTCGCTCCGAGCTGGACCGAGCGCTTGAGAGCCTGGTTTCGAGGTTTTTCTCGTGTGAGTTCATAATCCACTTTCTGAAGCTTTTCCTTGTCGCTCCGGGGCGGACCGACTTGCTAAGAGCCTCGCTTCCGTTGTTTTGCTAACCTATTAGCGCTCTAGCACTGTTTGAGTTCGCTTATTACTAGATTCTTCTCCTTGAACTGCTAGCCCTGCTGGTTTGAAGGTATGTGTGAAGTCGTATGAAGCCTCTTTTCCTGAGTATTCTTCAACCACTAGCTTCGATCCTGCGCCATTGATTATAACTATCTCTCTGGATATAGCTTGTTCTCATGAGATCTAGCTAGTAGTTCAATCAATTCGAGAATTATGCTCTTTGAGCTATGGAAGTTCTATAATCAGCTCATGCTATGCTATATCCGTAATATCAAAAGAAGCTCTGATTACACATCCTTGAATCAAGATAGATAGATAATTAGTCTTCTTATTAATTACTTCTTAGTTATATGCAACAGATTATTCTTCTACAATGCTGAGAGTATATGAGCGTCTTTTTCATTTCCATTATAGTTGTACCTGATTAACAATGTATAGAAATATGAAGTTTCTCTGAATATCACTATCCAATAGTGCGCTATACTTGTATCCTTGAATGTATATATTGAACTTGATATAAGCGTAATCTGCCTTGAAAGCTCTACATAGGAACTATTCTAGTTTAATTATCTGCAATCTCTTTACAAGCAATCCTGTTCTTTTGAATTTGTTAAGAACTGCTTGTTCTTCTAAGCTTATTTTGCTGCTTCTTAAGCAAGCTTCTTAGCTTGCTTTTGCTCGTATCGTCGTTATTCCTAATCTTTCTTCTATTAATGCTAGTTGCAAACTTTATCATTAATATGAATTATACAAAGTATTATTTTGCACTGCTATCATTTTATCTTCTTATCTATATATTGCATGGAATAGTTATCTGATAGCTCGATGTATGCGTTGTAGTATTGCTTGTTGAGAACCTCTCTGAAGCGGAGTTTCTGTTCTTCAACAGCCTGAAGGATTTGTTCTGGTTCTCTAACGGGAAACCATTCGTATTGCACCTTGTCTGAGAAATGCATTCTGCAGCTATAATAGATGCAGGAGATTCATACCAATTCGTGGTATAGATTGTAAAGTAAGCTAATCCGAGAATCTTCATCTTCTTATGCTTTAATGTTCTGCAAGGAGATGCAGATAAAGAGCTTCTCTAACTCTATTCTATAAACGAGATATTCAATTCATGTTATTCCCTTGTTCTACCCAATACTAAAGGGAAATCTTTCTGTAAGCTTCTTAGATTCATTGTTCACGAAAGACTTCAGTAAATCATTAGATTATTCATTCTGGCTTGATCTTTCTGTTGCTTAAGAGATGTTTTCAGTATTATTTAGATATTTATACCAATAACCAAGAGAATATCATCCTCTATTCATTTCTCTGATTATGATATCTGGTGCAGGTAATAGGGAATGGTGAAGAGCACTGTTGTTAAGTTCTTTCTCCAGCGCTTGAATGCTTTGTTTAATAACATCGGAGCAGTTCGAGTTGTTACTGCTTGTAGTTGTGTTAGGCATATACCCTCGCTCTGCTGTTGCTATCTGCCTGTAGTGCCTAGGTTTCTGAGGAAACCATCCTGAATCTTTCTTACTCAAGAGATGTGTTAAGCAGTTGTTGTCGTAGCAGAATGTTCAGCTGAGACTTCCGTGATCAACAGAGTTCGATACTTGCTCCAAGGGAGTGTTTTTGCTCAGTTGATTGGATTTCTGTTATCAAGCAACATTTATCTGGCATTCTTCCTGAACTAGTTGCTATTTGTTCTTTCGGGGTTGATAGCAGTTGTATGCGATGTATCCTTGTTTGTTGCAGTTGTAGCAAGTAACGCTGTTTCTCTTGCTATACTGCTTGTTAGCAGCATCGAGTTCCATAGGACTAGCATGCATAATGCTGCTCTGAGCTATACTATCATATTAACCGCTATTCTTATTTTGGAATTTCTTGCTTATATTAGCTGGAAACCTCCAAGTCTAACTTCCTCCTTTCTTAGATTTCTTCACTCATTGTTCATACAGATAGTTGTTGATGCAAATAGCTTGATTAGAGAACATCGCAAAGTTCTCTAGCCAATTCTGCTTGGAGATTTCATCTTTAATATCATCCTTGAGTCCCTTATAGTAATATTCCATAAGATTCTTATTTTCCCATGGAAGCTTTGCTGAGAGCTGCTTGAATCTGATTGTATAAGCAGAAGCTAACTTGGTCTGTTTGAGATTCATAAGCTGCTAAGCTGTGATGCATTCTTCATTGGAATTACCAAAGATCTTCTTGAAAGCTTTCTCAAAGCTCTCAAAGAAATCGAATATATTCTTAATATCCTGGGTACATGCATTGGAATTATTCTGATGCTCCAAGTGGTTGCGTAGAGAAGGTTTGTACTAGATGAGAGCATCTTTCTCGAAATGAGTTTCTGCAAGAATAATCTTCTCGGATTCCATAGTAAACTGAGTTGCATAGTGCAAAAAGTACGCCCTGCAATGAATAAGAAACCTATGCAGCATCTTCTGATTGCCATCATACATAGCGAGTTTATCCATCTTGTATGCCTTTCCAGCACTACTAGTGACTGCAGAGGTGAACTGCGCCTGCTGAGCTTGTTGGGCTAGCTAGGCCTGTTAGGCTAGCTGAGCCTATTAGTTAGCAATAGTAGCGCTCTGAGCCTGCTGTTATTCGCGCAGATCCTGGATACGCTGAATAAGCTGATACACCTGGTTAACCAGTTCTTCCTGAGTAGAGACGCACGGGAACGAAGAGGTTCCTGGAGGAGCCATCGTATTCCGTATTGCTCAAGGGAGTAATACTGAACCGTTCTTGAATAAGAATTATCAAAATGTAATGAGCACTGCAGCAATCCGAAGATTCCTAAGTATACGAAGGGGTTTATGCTAATAAGAGCAGTATCAAAGTATCAAGTCCTTGAATACGGAACCGTACAAGTCCTAGTAAGCGATGCAAGTATTCACTGCTTTTGGGGCTATCAGAGTAGAGAATAATCTGATACTTAGATTAACAACTGAAGAGCTATATACAGTAATCTATCTAGTAGTAATGAACGTATCTTTATATATTCAGCTCTTCATCGTAGCTCACCTAGCTCACTGTGATCCGTGATCCGTGTTGTGATAATCCGGTAAGTGGCTCACTTGTTTTGCTGTAATCCAACCCTAACCCTTGCTTATGTAATTTCTGGTGGTTGTCCGATGTTGGATCGTATCACCTGGTTCCCTGTTGGCGGGGCCTGTTTCGTGACCTGCATGTTGAATGGGTCATAACAAGCTATAATAGATGTAGGAGATTCATGCTAATTCGTAATGTAGATTGTGAAGTAAGCTGATTCGAGGATTCTTATCTTCTTATGCTTCAATGCTTTGCAAGAGAATGCAAATAAAGAGCTTTTCTAATTCTATCTTATAAACAAGATATTCAATCTATATTATTTCCTTATTTTACTCAATACTAAAGGAAAATCTTTCCATAGATTTCTTGAGTTTATTATTCACGGAAAGCTTTGGTGAACTATTAAATCATTTGTTCTAGCTTAATCTTTCTATTGCCTAAGAAGCATTTTCAGTATTATTCATATATTTGTATCAGTAATTAAGAGAATATTATTCCTTATTCATATTCCTAGTTATAGTGCTTAGTATAAGCAATAGAGAATATTAAAGAGTATTATTGCTAAGTTCTTCCTTCAATGCTTGAATGCTTTGTTCAGCAATATCGAAGTAGCTTAAATTATTGCTGCTCATGATTATATTAAGCGTATATACTCATTCTGCTATCACTATCTATCTATAATGCTTAGATTTCTGAGAAAACTATTCTAAATCTTCTTTACTCAAGAGATATATTAAGCAGTTATTATTATAGCAGAATTATAATAAGCACTGCAGCAATCCGAAGATTCCTAAGTACACGGAGGGGTTTATGCTAACAAGAGCGGTATCAAAGTATCAAGTCCTTAATACGGAACCGTACAAGTCCTAAGAAGTGATGCAAGTATTTACTGCCTTTGGAGCTATCAGAGTAGAGAGTAATCTGATACTTAGATTAACAACTGAAGAGCTATGTACTGAGTCTATCTAATGATAATGAATGTGTTCTTATATATCTAGCTCTTCAGTGTGAACTACAAGAGTTGGTGGTTGGTCGTTGCAGTTCACTGCTTGAACTGTGAGGATTGATCGTTGATTGCTCCGGTTCCTTTCTGATTGGCTACAGCTTGTAACTCTATCCCTGGATTACGTAATCTTTGCCAGTTATTCGTTGTTGAATCGTGATACCTGATTCTTGTTACTTGTAACTTGTTTCGTGATCTGCATGTTGGATAGATTATAATATCATCTCCTTCCTATCAGTCGTTATTCCCAACGATCTTTTGTAAGTATCCTAGCAAACTTTTCATATATGATCTTGCCTTTCTAATCCGAACAATGAATAGAATCGATAAGTCTCGTCACAAAAAGACGGAACAGTCTACCTCCCTCTGGCTCATTGCCCTTTCTCGTTGCGTTGAGATGCCAATGTGTTCTTTCTGCAAGAGTTGCAAAGCTCGCTGCCTTGCTTCTGAGGAGGATTCGTCACGCTGTACGGAGTGCATCAAGCATAAGCGTGGGAATTGTAATATGCATGGTTTGTCGCCGTTGCAAGTGGAAAAGATCGTAGCTCAGCATTCCGCTGCTGAGACTGCTCTTGATGACGCGGAGGAGGAGCTGGAGCGTGCTACAGCCAAGGTGCGCTGGTTGCGGAAACAGCGCAAGCTGTGGGCCGAGAAAATAGCGCGCGCGGTGCGCTGTGGTTTGGACACGATTGAGAAGCTTGATTGTGTGGAGGCGGAGGAGCTGGCGAAGGAGCAGCAAGCTCGTGTTCCTGCTGGTCCCCTTCCTGAGAGGTTTTCAGCTTTGGTCTCGGGAGAACTCTTCTGATCTCCTAGTAGTATGTTGGACTATTCCTTTTTAAGCGATATGGATGGTATCGAGGGTGATGGAGGTTCTTCTGGTGCTCGAGAGGTTCGTCCTGAGTTGGAGGATTTGGGGAGTGAGGTTTCTGGAGCTTCTGAGTCTCGGTCCGGGGCGGAGCGATCGTCTTAGATACTGGTTTCCTTCCTTTTCCAATACTCAGCTACTCTTTTCTGAGCGTTCTTAACGTTTTCCTGTGGTTCTCATGAGTTTTCGCTTGCTGAGTAGCTTTTCCATTTGACAAGATATTCCCTCGTATTGTCTATGCCTCTGTGCTTGAGAATCTTCTCTACTTTGTATTCTGGTTTATTGTTTTCTACTTCCACTGTATTATCCGTTAGTATTTCCTGTACTGCTAATTCCAGCAGTAAGATGTGGAAAACTGGGTGTATCCTCATCTTATGAGATAATGCTAATTCGTAATTAACTGGAGAGATCCATTGTAAGATTTTGAATAATTCTAACTTCTTATAATCGAGTTTATTGCTAAATCTTATTATTTTAATGTTTTTTCGAAGTAAGTAAGCCTTATCTTCCTTCTGTAGGATTGATTCCTCAATCCTCTTGGAGTTTGCATATTGTACTATTCGTTCCTGGATGAATTGTAATTCTGATTGGAGTTCCTCCTGAACTTTCTTGATCTTCCTAATCCTCTTATCTGCAGCTTCTGCATCTGCTTCTAGCAGTGCCTCGTAATAAGCTGTTAAATTATATTCGTAGAATATAAAGAATGATAACTTCTTTATTATGCTTATATTTGCGCTATTATAAGCGAACTGTGCAAGAGATAATAGATTAATCCAATTATTCTGTTCCTAATTAATATAGTATTGTAGATACTGTTCAACAACTTAATTCATTCTTTCCATCTATTCGTTTGTTTGTAAGTAAAATGCTGTAAATATTCTGTAGTATGTTCCGAGCTGTTTCATAAGTAAAGTTCAAAATTTCGAATTAAACTTTCTATCTCTATCAGAGATTACTTTCTCTAGCATGCTATAATTAGCAATAATTATTCTGAGAAATATATATACAAGTTTCTCTACTATACTACTTTTCTTATAAGAAAGAAAATAAGCATACTTGCTCAGTTTGCAAATCACTACTAGAATGCTATTATATTATACTTTAGTTAAGAATTCTCATAAGAAAGATAGCTTAGTAATAAAATCTAGACTAATGAATTGCTAAATAGTTATAAATATTGATAAGAAGTATAATAGTTCGTAAAGCTTATATCTTTCTGCTTTATTCTTCTTGCAGCTGTTGCATTGTTATAGAATATTCTTAATTCTTTTTCTAAGATCTGATGAGTTCTAGTATCTTTTAATATATTTATAAGTTGCTCTAATTCTCTAATGCTTATATGCTGATATACTGTATATATTCTTGATATAGTTATCTTGTTCGTTCGGAATCATTGATTCTGGATTCTTTTTCGAAGATTCAATTCTGAGAGCAGTATTCAGTTCTCTATATGCATTAATGAGATTTCCCAACTCATCTTGAGCGAAGATGTTCTATATATTCGAGAAATCTGTATCTTAATAGTTTGATTTTCTACTGAGAGCATCTGCTTATTCGTTTTCTAAGCTTTTGCAGTATACAATTTTAAAGTTGAATTATAAGAGGAATTCTGCTTATCTGATTTATTGCTTATTCAAAATCTTAATTATTATAAATATAGTTAGATTCTTATAATCCGAATGAATTATGATTAAATATTATATGCTAATGAGATAGTATTACTACTTCTTAAAGATTTTTACTATTGTTATAAGTTTCTGATTAGGAATTCTATAGTTGATTTCCAAGCTATTCAACTTCTTCGAGAAGTTGCTTACGATTCTTAGATATTCTTAGTTATTTCGCTAGCTTAGTTATTCTCCGAATGCATATTCTGATATATTGGTTTTAACTTCAAAGAGTTTATAAGGATCTGCTTTATACAGAACTGGCTCTGAGGTGATATGCTTGATGATCTCATCAAAAGCTTCTTATGCTTTGGAGATTCATTCGAAGGATTAATTCCTTTTGATAAGATTTGTAAGAGGATGTGCGATTTAGCTATAGTTCTTGATGAATTATCTGTAGAAATTAACATATCCGAGAAAAGATCTAATATCTCTGATGTTTCTGAGAATTAGCTAGTTTCTAACAGCTTCTATCTTATCTTTCTGTAGCTTAATATATTCCAGCTCGATCGTGAATCCGAGATAGTTGACTTTTTGTATATGAAAGTAGCTCTTTGCAAGCTCTACAAGAAGCTTTGCATTCTAGAGCATTTGTAATACTATTTCCATGTATTTCTTGTATTCTTTCAATGTTCGAAAGTAAATAAGAATATCATCGAGATAAGCAATAACGAACTGATTCAGATGCTTGCATAGAACATAATTAATTATTTCCTGAAATGAAGCTGAAGCATTTGTTAATTCAAAGGATATAATTAAATATTCGTAGTATTCGTAGCGAGTTCTGAAAGCAGTTTTCCATTCTTCTTCTTTCTTTACTCTGATTAGATTGTAAGCTTCTTTCAGATTCAGAACTATAAATCATTATACTTCTTGCAGTCTATCTCATAGTTCCTTAATAAGTAGCAGCGGATATTAGTTCTTGATTATAATATTGTTAAGTTGCTTATAATCAATATACAGCCTGAGCTTGCTATTCTTCTTGAATATAAACAGGATGGGATATTCTGCTGGTGAGTAGGATGGTTGTATATATTCTTTCTTAAGGTTCTCGTTAAAGTACTCCCTAAGTATCTTTAGCTATGCTTTGTTTAGTTTGTAGATAGGGAAGAATTTGAGCTATTTCTCTTCTTATAGCAGGATCTTGTAGTTATATAAACTATATTCTAGCAATCCTATATCCAATTCTTCCTGAAACAGTTTCTTGAACTTATAGTATTCTCATAATATGTTTGCGAGTGTTAGTTTTGATCCCTGTGCTGTTTCTGCTACCTGGAGAAATAGTAGATACTGTTAAGCATACTTCTTTTCTAATAGCATTTTCGAGAGCTTTAAGCGTTTGCTCCGGGCTAGACTGAGCGCTTGAGAGCTTGGTTTCGAGGTTTTTCCTATATAGATTTACAATTCACATTCTGAAGCTTTTCCTTGTTACTCCGAAGCGAACCAACTTGCTGAGAGTTTCGCTTCCGTTGTTTTGCTAATCTGTTAGCGCTCTAGCACTATTTGGATTTGCTTGTTACTAAATCCTTCTCCTTGAACTGCCAGCTCTGCTAACTTGAAAGTATGTGGGAAGTTGTATGAAGCTTCTTTTCCTGAGTATTCTTCAATCACTGGCTTCGATCTTGTATTGTTGATTATAACTATTTCTCTGGGTATAGCTTGTTCTTATAAGATCTGGCCAGTAGTTCAATCGATTCGAGGATTGTGCTCCTTGAGCTATAGAAGTTCTATAATCAGCTCATACTATGCTATATCCGTAATATTAAAGGAAGCTCTGATTATGCATTCTTGAATCAAAATAAATAGATAATCAGTTTTCTTATCAATTACTTCTTGGTTATATGCAACAGATTATTCTTTTATAGTGCTGAGAGTATATGAATATCTCTTTTATCTTTATTATAATTGTATCTGATTAATAATATATAAGAATATAAAGTTTCTCTAAGCATTACTATTCAATAGTATGCTATATTTGTATTCTTAAATATATATATTGAACTTAATATAAGCATAATCTGTTCTAGAAGCTTTATATAGAAACTGTTCTGATCTGATTGTTTGCAGTTTCCTTACAAGCGATCCTATTCTTTTGAATTCATTAAGAACTATTTATTCTTCTAAGCCTGCTTTGCTACTTCTTGAGCAAGCTTCTTAGCTTGCTTCTGCTCATATTATTATTATTCCTAGCCTTTCTTTTATTAATGCTAATTGCAAACTTTATTATTAATATAAATTATGCAGAGTATTATCTTGCACTGCTATCACTCTATCTTTTTATCTATACATTGTATAAAGCAATTATCCGGTAGCTCGATATATGCATTGTAATATTGCTTGTTGAGAACTTCTCTGAAGCAGAATCTCTGTTCTTCAACAGCTTAAAGAATTTATTCTGATTCTCTAATAGGAAATCATTTGTATTGCATCTTCTCCGAGAAATGCATTCTACAGCTATAATAGATACAGAAGATCTATGCTAATTCGTAGTATAGATTGTAAAGTAAGCTGATCTGAAGATTCTCTTCTTCTCATGCTTCAATATTTTGCAAGGAAATATAGATAAAGAGCTCCTCTAGTCCTATTCTATAGATAAGATATTCAATCTATATTATTTCCTTATTTCATTCAATACTAAAGAGAAACTTTTCCGTAGATTTCTTGGATTTATTGTTCACGGAAAACTCTAGTAAATCATTGAATTGCTTATTCTAGCTTAATTGTAATGAGCACTGCAGCAATCCGAAGATTCCTAAGTACACAAGAGGTTTTATGCTAACAAGAGCGGTATCAAAGTATCAAGTCCTTGAATACAGAACTGTACAAGTCCTAATAAGCAATGCAAGTATTCACTGCTTTTGGAACTATCAGAGTAGAGAGTAATCTGATACTTAGATTGACAACTGAAGAGCTATGTACGAGATCTATCTAATGGGAATGAACGTATTCTTATATATCCAGCTCTTCAGTATGAATATATTGGATAGCAACATATCCAAGTTATTCTGATAGCTCTGGATAGCATATATCCGAAGCTATTCTTTCTGATTAGCTGTGCTCATAATCCTAACCCTGAGTTATATAATCAATACTTCATTAGGATGTTGAGTTCTTGATATCTGATTCTTGTTACTTGTAACTTGTTCTGTAATCTGCATATTGGATGGGTTATAATATCATCCCCCTTCTATCAGTTGTTGTTTCTAACGATCTTTTGTAAGTATTCTAGCAAATCCTTCGTATACATAATCTTGCCTTTCTAATTGGAATGTTGAATAGAATTAACAAATCTCATCCTTGTACTGAGAAGATTAAACAAAAGAATTTTCTTCTTTCCTTAGTTCTTCAAAACGCTATCACTATGCCTTCTTGTTCCTTCTGTAAGGATTGTGGTATTCAGTCTTGTTAAGTCTCCGTTGCGGATTCCTCTTGCTGCGTTAAATGTATTCGCTTGGGTCGTTCTCGGTGCGACGTTCAAGGGCTGAGTGCTGCAGAAATTCGTTGGATAGATATTCAATACTAATGCTTAAAGAATCAACTCGAGAATGCTGAGGAGCAGCTGCATAATGCTGCTGTGGAGATAGAATGTTTGCGGAAGCAGAAGCGTTTGTAGTTTGAGAGGATGATGAAAGCTATTTGTTGAAGCCTTTCCAGTATGAAGGAGTTGGAACATGAGGAAGCTGAGAAGGAGCGGGCTCGCGTCGCTGCTGGGGTTCGTTCTGTGATTGCAGAGGAATCTGCTGTGATTGCTGGAGATTCTTCTTTTGAGGGTTTTGATTGGAATTCCGTGGATGTAGAGAATGCAGTAGTGGATTGATCGGGTTTCCTGAAGAGCGAGGTTTCTGAAGCCCCTGGACTTCGGTTCGGAGCAGAGCGATTATCTTAGATGCTGGCTTTCTTTTTCCAATATTCAGCTACCTTTTTCTGAGCATTTTCAACATTTTTCTTTGATTCTCAAGAATTTTCGCTTGCTGAATAATCTTTCCATTTGATAAGATATTCTCTTGTATTATCTATACTTCTGTATTTGAGAATCTTTTCTATTTTATACTCTGGTTTATTGTTTTCTACTTCTGCTGTATTGTTTATTAGTATTTCCTGTACTGCTGATTCCAGCAGTAAGATGTGGAAAACTGGGTATATTCTCATCTTATAAGATAATGCTAATTTGTAATTAATTGGAAAGATCTGTTATAAGATTTTGAATAGTTCTAACTTCTTATAATCGAGTTTATTGCTAGATTTTGTTATTTTAATATTTTTTCGAAGTAGATAAACCTTATCTTCCTTCTGTAGGATTGGTTCCTTAATTCTCTTAGAGTTTGCATATCATACTATTCGTTCTTGAACGAATTGTAGTTCTAATTAGAGTTTCTTCTGAACTTTCTTAATCTTCTTAATCCTTTTATTTGCAGCTTCTATATCTGCTTCTAGCAGTGCTTCGTAATAAGCTATTGGATTGTATTCATAGAGTATGAAGAATAATAACTTCTTTGTTATGCTTATATCTATGCTATTATAAGCGAATTATGCAAGAAGCAACAGATTAACTCAGTTATTCTGTTCCTAATTGATATAGTATTATAAATATTGCTTAATAACTTGATTCATTCTTTCCATTTATTTATCTATTTGTAGATAAAATGCTATAAACATTCTGTAGTATATTCCAAGCTGTTTTATAAGCGAAGTTCAAAACTTTGAGTTGAACTTTCTATCTCTGTTGGAGATTACTTCTTCTAGCATGCTGTAATTAGCAATAATCGTTCTGAGGAATGCATATACGAGTTTCTCTGCTATACTGCTTTTCTTATAAGAAAGAAAATAAGCATACTTGCTCAATCTGCAAACTACTACTAGAATACTATTATATTGCACTTTAGTTAAGGATTCTCATAAGAGAAATAGCTTAGTAATAAAATCTAGACTGATGAATTGCTAAACAATCATAAATACTGATAAGGGGTGCAGTAGTTCATAAAGCTTGTATCTTTCTGCCTTATTTTTCTTGCAGCTGTTGCATTGTTATAGAATATTCTCAATCCTTTTCCTAAGATCTGATAGATTCCAGTATCTTTTGATGCATTCATAGATTGCTCTAACTCCCTAGTGCTCATATGCTAATGTGCTGTATATATCCTTAATGTAGTTGTCTTGTTCGTTCAGAGTTATTAATTCTGAATCCCTTTCCGAGGATCTAATCCTGAGAGCAGCATTCAGTTTTCTGTATGCATTAATAAGATTTCCTGATTCATTTTGAGCAAAGATATTCTGTATATTCGAAGAATCTGCATCTCGATAATCTAATCTTCTGCTGAGAGCATCTACTCATCCGTTTTCTAAGCTTTTGCAGTATACAATCTTGAAGTCAAACTGTAAGAGGAATTCTGCCTATCTAACTTATTGCTTATTCAAAATCTTAATTATTATGAATGTAGTTAGATTTTTGTAATCTGAGTGAACTATAATCAGGTATTGTATGCTAATAAGATAGTATTGCTATTCCTTGAAAGCTTTCACTATTGCTATAAGTTTCTGATTAGGGATTCCATAGTTGATTTCCGAGCTATTTAACTTCTTTGAGAAGTTGCTCATAATCCTTAAACATCCCTGGTCGTCTTGCTAACCAAGTTATCCTCCGAATGCATATCCTGATGCATTAGTTTCAATTTCAAAGGGTTTGTAAGGATCTGCTTCATACAGAACTGGTTCTGAGATAACATGCTTAATAATCTTATCAAAAGCTTCTTATGCCTTAGGAGTTTACTCGAAGAGCTGCTTCTTTTTAGTAAGATTTGTAAAGGGATATACAATCCAGCTATAGTTCTTAATAAACTGTTTATAGAAGTTAATATATCTGAGAAAAGATCTAATATCCCTAATGTTCCTGGAAACTAGCTAATTCCTAATAGCTTCTATCTTGTTTTTCTGTAGCTTGATGCATCTCAGCTTGATCGTAAATCCGAGATAGTTGATTTTTTGTATGTGAAAGTAACTCTTTGCGGATTTCATAAGAAGCTTCGCATTCTGAAGCGTTTGCAATACTGTTTCTACATATTTCTTGTGTTCTT